GTTCACGCAGATGCCGAGCTCAAGTTAAGTAGTGGGAGTACCTTGTTTCCTTGGGTTGAAGAAGCCAGCAGAGATCAGTTGAAGATGCAACCCTGGTTCTGTGATCCCGAGTGATCTAATTTAGAGTTCTTGTGGTGTTAGTTTCTGTTTGTGGCTTGTTCCTTAGCTGAGCCGTCTCATTTTGAGTAGATCGTTGGCTAGTTCTGAACAGGAGTTAGGCTCGGTGTAAAGTTAGTTTTCCTTTCTGGTAAATCTTTTATCTATCACCTTTTCTTTCTTTCTTTTCTTACCTTTGTGAACCCTCAACCTATCTCTAAGCCTTGTCTCTCGTTTTGTCAATCGACGGTTTTGGTGTTGAACTTTGTTGTGACCAAGCCTATCAATCTTACCACCATAATTTGAACCCTTGTTTCCCCTAACTTTGGTTAATGGCGAACACTTTTGTTGCTTAAAACCTCATTTGCAACCCATCCCTTAAGCTTTGTCATCCTTTTTGCAAGTCGACCATTTTGTTGTGGTAACTCGTTTCTTCTCTCATTTGTTGTTGCCGCTCTGTTGTTGTCGCTTTTCGGTTGTGCTTAGTTGTTCTCTCTTGTTTGCCGTGGTTGTTAGCTTGTAGTTTGGGTAGTTGGTTTAGTTGCTTTGCTTTTATGAAGACGCCGTCCCTCGCAGTTAACCAGAGGATGGACCAGCTTGAGGCCAGTTCTAGCCGAGGAAGAGCCGACGAAGAGTTTGACAAAGAATTCGAGGAGTCGGAGAGCGAGTCCTTCTAGAGTAGAGCTGAGGCCGTCTTTTTTGCCCTTTTCTTAGCTGTGGTTATCTTCTTAGCCGTTGTTGTAACACCCCGAAATTTTTAAACTTTTAAAACTTATATAATAAAGGTAATTCCTCATACAATCCCAAAATCAAGCATAAGAGTATGGGGTGCTATGCCACACCTGAGCTAGAGAACTCAGGTGCACGGGCTAACTAACTAAAATCCTTAAATAACGTCAATACATAATCATGGCACGCAGGCCGAAAGGGAACTAGCTACTCTACGCCTCGGATTTCTAGCGCGCTCTGGGATCTACTCGTCTGTGCCTGAAAGTCAAATGTATCTGTTCAGTGAGAGATGCTAGTAACCCACTCCAACGCGTTGAAATACATTATAGATATATATATATATATATACGAAAATCATTTCGAAGCAGGAAGATATATACTTTAGAGACACTAGTTTTAAAACCAGGAGTAGACTCAGCAAATAGGGATAAGCACATCTGACACAATAAGCAGTTAAGTAGTGATAACATCATAAGGAATACGCATTTAAGGTCACAGGTCACTTTCCAATTCAAAAACACATCATCATCCAATCACCATTCATATCACATAATCATCGATGGCGCCACGGGACCAATCGCATGCCCCGAACATGAGGGTTAATGCTTATAGCATTAACACGGCCCCGCAGCACCCTACCTCAGTACTGTGGTACGAGGGGAGTTGATCGCAACCAACCCTTTGAGAACCGCTGACGAACTCAACGTCGAACCACGATCCGACACACCGCTGACGCGCACAGTCGGTGGACTGCGATCCCCTTTACAAGGGGGGACTTACGACCCTACACACCGTTGATGCGCACAATCGGTGGACCGTAGCGGATCAAGCCCGACACACCGCTGAGCTAAGCTCAGTTGGTGGGCGAAGATCCTCGGAGACTACGGCCCTACATACCGATGTCCCATCACTCGGTGGATCGCAGCCAGCCGTAGCCCTACACACCGCCTGATTACTCAGGTCGATGAACTACAGCCTTCCTCGGCTTGTTGGCCCTACACACCGCCTGGCGCGTCCAGGTCGGTGGGTCATATCACCGAGGCCCATGTGGACCTTCAGTCCTATATAATCTTTATATACCTGACTGGTCTCTACCAGCCTGGTTAACAGTTGGGATGGTTCTCAACCCATTCAACTGCCCGTATAGTGGACCTCAGTCCTATATAATATTTATATACCTGACCGATCTTAACCGGCCTGGTTAACAGTTGGGATGGTTCTCAGCCCATTCAACTGCCCGTATAGCCCACTTGATCTTAACCAAGTTGGGGGATCATGCATCACATAACACATAATAACACACAATAACACATAACAGCATATTGGGAAAGGGGAGACATATAATTAAGCTTACGTGTGATCATTCACATACTAAGAATAGTCCTAAGGGGTTCATACTACTTTCACCTAGGTCGACGGATTACCGATTCAACTAGCATGCAATTCCTAAGACTCTTTTATCCTACGAACGGCAACCGAAACATCAAACTAGACTCAAGCACGACAAGCGGGGTCCGTTGGGACACCACGGGGAATGGGGAACATCAAACGGGGAAGTCGGGGACCCGGGGTGAGTAACGGAACAGCGGGTAGCCGGTGGGTGAGGGATCCTCACCCGCTGGCTGCCCGCCGGAAATCACTGCCCGGCAGCGGGTTGCCGGCGGGCGGACGCCTGCCCGGCGCCTGCCCGCTGCCCGGCGGTGATCTTCGGGCAGCGGGTAGGTGGCGGGTACCCCTACCCCCCACTGAATCATTCATCACAAATCCGTCCCGGGATCCTTTGTGGAACCCGAAACCATGCTTAGACACTTTTAAACGCAATTAACGACACCACGTAGTCAATTAATGGATCAAAAGCAAGAATCACGTATAACGTCATTGCTACGTGGGTTACATGCCGACCGGCCGGAATTGTGTCTCCGGCCTAGCGGCTATAAATACCCGCGGCGGCAACAGTGTGAGGGACTTTTGAACGATCGATAGGCAATTGTTAGAGCATCCCGACCGCAGTCAGTCGGCCCTCAGAATAGCCAGTGTAGATTGTATTTAGGTTATTCACCCCGATCAATAAAAGATTTTACTTGCTTTGATTGGACTTGTGTTATTTATCTATCGCTTACGTGGGAATTAACACTATCTTGAATAATAATATAATTCTAACAAACTAAATCTAAAATAATTGTAAGATAATCATCCTAATTAATTAATATAACTAATTCTAAAATTATTCTAACCGTTCACGTGGATGGCCACAACAAAAAGAGAGAGCAGATGTTCCTTAAATCACGTACCATCAAATCATGATAGGAAGTGATTCGCCCGCATGGGTAGCTCAATTGGTCATAGAGGTGAAACTTTGGAAGAATTACCAGGGATCGAGTTTCACCAGCGACAGTGTGGGAGCAACCTCTTAAAGTGAGGGGGGCTCCTTGTGCGCAGTGAGCACCATTCTAGCATCTATGGTTCATGTTTAGTTGAGTCACCATGATCATCCTCCCAAATGCTCTGTCGAGTGAGGGGGGCTCCTTGTGCGCAGTGAGCACCGGTCTAGCATCTATGGTTCATGTTTAGTTGAGTCACCATGATCATCCTCCCAAATGCTCTGTCGGGACCTTGGGGTTGGGGTTCAACTTTTTGGAAGAATGATAGGAAGTGATTCGGATGTGACAATCAAACACATATTTTCATACCAAAAATGAGGCAAGTGGAATCATGCTGAGAAAAAAAAAAAAAAAGAAGTAAAAAGTAATGATATTTCTAAAAGAAAATTCTATATTTATTATGACACTCCGAAAATTAATTCTTTAAATGCGAATTAATTACTTAATTAATTCCTATTTGCCTTACAATTCCTTCATAATTCCCATTGAATATAGTCAAGGGACCTAGTTTGACCAAATCCCTTAGTCTTTTAAATGTGATCAATGGGTTAGACCTTGTGCTTTATTTCTTGTACTCAAGTGTTTAATTAAAAGAATTTCTCCTAACTTGTTTGTGGGAAGGAGAGGTCCATTTGGTATTTTCACAAGTCCTAAATTGGAACCCAAGATATTTCCTAGACACATTCACCCTAGTCTTCCACACTTAGCCAAGGAAAAACCTCTCTCTAAATTCTAGCTTATCCTCCAAGCTACCCTAAACCCTCTCATTCTACCAAGAAAACTCCTCACCTTATCACCAAGGAAACCAAGCAAGATTTCACCTTTCACCATCTTCAAGCTTAGGAAGGATAAGTTTTAGGCTTCTATAGTTTTATTTCATAGTTTTTCACCTTCTTTATCTAAGTCTTTTCTCTTTGCTTGGTGGGTTTTAGTTTGTGTAATGAAGATAACTTGGAAGAGGACCTTCAAGAAGGATCTTAGGATTTCGGGAAGTGTTGAACAGGCTAAGAAGGTAACCCATGTCTTACAAAATCTATTTATACTTGCTATTATGATTTATTGATGCTCTTGAGTGATTCAATGCATATTCTCGTGATTATGCTCACTGTTGCAAAAATCGCGCCTAGGCGCTAGGCGGCCTAGGCGCCCGGCTAGGCGCTCGAGGCGCCCGCCTAGGCGTTCAAGGCGCCCGGCCTCCTAGGCGGCCTAGGCGCCCGGCTAGGCGTTCTAGGTGCCCGCCTAGGCGCTCTAGGCGCCCTAGGCGGTCCCAAGGCGCCTAGAGGGCGCCTAGTGATTTTTTCAACATTGATTATGCTTTTATAGAGCTAGTATCTAGGGTTCTATAATGTTATTTATTTATCTATTCTATGTATTCAAGTCCCTCTTGTTGTTGATGTGAGTTTTGAGGTGTTTGGACTTGAACTTGTGCATTCTAGCAATTTTTCCTGAAGTGGATTTCTTCTCTATGTTTCGGTACCAGCGGGCAAGGTTGCAAAAATCGCGCCTAGGCGCCCAGCCGCTGCTGCGAAGAAGGCCGGAATCGGCCTCCTCCGCGGCCGGCCGGCTAGGCGGCCGCCTAGACCGCCTAGCCGGCTGAACCGGCGCTTTAGTTTTTTTTTTTTTTTTTTTTTTTTTTTTTTTTTTTTTTTTTGCGTTTTGAATTGCGAAAACTTCGGGAAGGCATAACTTTTGACTCGGTTGTCCGTTTTGGACAATTTTTTTTTTTTTACAGAAAGCTATTTGAGCCCTAGTTTCAATACCATCTATTAGCAACTTCTTAATACTCTGCAAGCTAAATTTCTTCCATTAATGAGGAATCATTAAATCTTAACCAGCAATGAATTTATTTTTTTGCATACGCAACTATAATTAGTTTGGATAAAATAAAATAAAGTAGGATGTAACTCTAGAAAACGCAAAAATTATACAATTGAAAAATCAGCTTATGTAACTGTTAGGAATATAGCGGAATAATGCAGAAGCGAAGAATCAAAAATTGAGAATTATAGAAGTTAAATAATAGGAAAATATGTAAATGAAGATAATTATATAAATGACAAATGAATCTAATATAAAATGGGAAAATATAAAATATATATATAAATTCTCAAAAGAGAATAACAAATGAAATATATATATATATATATATATATATATATATATATATATATATATATATATATTTGTACGTGAGAACAAAAACAAAGAAGAATGAATTCAAATGATGTAAGAGGTGTGTTTACAAAGCAAAACATCAAAACTATTTATACATTTCAAAAGAGATAATTGTGCATGTAAAAATGGGAACATGTGTACGTGGTTGATGGATGGTGCGGCATGCAGATGCTACGTGGTTGATGTTGCATGGAGAATGGAAGACTAATTCTTCAAGGATTTGAGGCACCAAAATTATTATTTCCCAACAATCTCCACCTTGGATCAAATCCACTGTGGGTATTAATAACTGGATCACCATCAACCTCCTGTGTGACTGAAAGAGCATAAGCAACGAAGTTGTTTTCATCATCACTAGCATACCTAGCAGGTTTTTTAATTGTCCTCCTATGACGATCTTGGGCAATAGAGTACTCTCGTTGTGGCTCGACGAGAGGTGCGATGCTAGTAGATGCATCATCTTTAGTATTACCATCGTTGGTAGTAATACTATCAATAGGCCTGAACTCAAACTCCACCTTCTCACCAGTACTATGCGTCTCATCTGTACTGGGAACTTTTCCAGAAGAAAGTAGTGCATTTTCGTCAAAAGTGATATCTCGACTCAAAATGATTTTCCGAGAATCAGGAGACCATAGACGATACCCTTTTGACACAGAGGCATAACCAAGGAAAATGCATTTGACAGCTCTCGGGTTTAATTTACCCGTATTGAAATGAGCATAAGCAGGACATCCAAAAACTCTTAAGATAGAGTAGTCAACAGGATTACCTGACCAAACTTCCTCCGGAATTTTGAAATCAAGGGATGAATGTGGAGATCTATTTACCAAATAGCAAGCAGTAGAAACGGCGTCGGCCCAAAAATCACGCCGTTTCCATAACCCAGCATTAGAGAGCATACAACGAGCTCTTTCCAATAGAGTCCTGTTCAAACGTTCGGCAGCACCATTCTGCTGGGGTTTACCAGGCAAGGTCTTGTGCCTGGCGATTCCATTTGCCGCACATAAGTCATTGAAATCTGACTCACAGAACTCCAAGCCATTGTCTGTCCTGAGCTTCTTGACTTTTTTACCTGTTTGAGTCTCAACAAGTATTTTCTTCTTCTTGAAAATAGAAAATGCCTGATTTTTATATTTCAGGAAATAGACCCAGACTTACGAGAAAAGTCATCAATAATAGACATAAAATATCTACAGCCTCCCATAGACTGGAATTTAGTTGGTCCCCATAAATCAGAATGTATATATTTCAATACATCTTTGGTACGGTGTGTAGCAGTAGAGAAACTAACCTCTTTTATTTCCCAAAAATACAATGCTCACAAAATTGTAATTTACCCGTACCTGAACCACCAAGGAGGCCTTTTTTGCTCAGGAGATGCATGCCTTTCTCACTCATATGCCCCAGACGCATATGCCATAATTCAGTGAGATCCGCATCAGACATCGATGAGGATACCGCTACTGAACCGTCACAGTACTGCCGTGCAAGACGTACAAGCTTCCAGAACGAGAAGCTTTCATGAGAACAAGAGAACCTTTTATGACCTTCAGAACTCCACCTTCAGCTATGTACTTGCACCCCAAAGATTCCAAGGTGCCCAAGGATATCAGGTTGCGTTTCAAATCAGGAATATACCGAACATTGGTAAGAGTCCTGATAACGTTATCATGTGTTTTAATCTGAACACTTCCAATTCCACTAACCTTGCATTGGGTATCATTACCCAGCAAGACAAGATCACCATCAACCGGTTCCAGAGAGACGAACCAGTCTTTGTGAGGACACATGTGGAATGTACAACTAGAGTCCAGAATCCACTCGGTTTCGCTCCGTTTGCAATCGGAGCTAACAGATAACAAAACATCGCCTTCTGAATCACTTTCAACAACACTAGCTTCAGCGGACTTCTTTTCTCTCTCTTGCTTGTTTTTCAACTCGAAGCATTCAGTCACATCATGACCATGCGTCTTGCAGTACTTACAGGACTTATGTCCTTTGGACTTGGATTTCGAATTTTTATTGCTACTCTCGGTTTCAAGTGAACAACCCCTTACGGTCAAGCCTTCACCTTTGTCCTCAGACTTAATTTCAAAGTCAAACTTTTCTTTGGACAATAGGTTTGACTTAACATTGTCGAAAGTAAGGGTATCACTACTATTACCATACAACATAATTTCTTTGAAATGCTTGTATGATTTAGGGAGAGAAACAAGCAATAAAACAGCACGATCCTCATCGTCAATTATGACATCAATATTTTCCAAGTCCAATAAAATAGAATTGAATTCATCCAAGTGAGATTTAATAGAAGTACCTTCCGTCATACGGATTGTGTACAGACGCTCCTTCAAACGCAGCATGTTCGCCAGAGTTTTGGCCATGTAAAGCGTATCCAGCTTGGACCATAAATCTGACGCAGTCGTCTCACTTACTACCTCACGTAGAACCTCTTTAGACAGACACAAAAGAATGGTTGAACGTGCCTTGTCATCCAAATCTTCCCAAGTTTCATCTGTCATTGTAGCCGGTTTCTTCTTCTTCCCAGCTAGCGCTTTCTTCAAACCGTTCTGGGTTAGAACGGCTTCCATCTGAACCTTCCAGATAGAAAAGCTAATTTTTCCATCGAACTTCTCGATATCGAACTTGGTAACAGTCGATATCTTTGAAAATAACTCTCAATTAAACCTGGCTCTGATACCACTTGTTAGGAATATAGCGGAATAATGCGGAAGCGAAGAATCAAAAATTGAGAATTATAGAAGTTAAATAATAGGGAAAATGTGTAAATGAAGAAAATTATATAAATGACAAATGAATCTAATATAAAATGGGAAAATATAATATATATATATATATATATATATATATATATATATATATAAATTCTCAAAAGAGAATAACAAATGAAATATATATATATATATATATATATATATATATATATATATATATATATATATATATATATATATATATATATATTTGTACGTGAGAATAAAAAAAAAAAAGAAGAATGAATTCAAATGATGTAAGAGGTGTGTTTACAAAGCAAAACATCAAAACTATTTATACATTTCAAAAGAGATAATTGTGCATGTAAAAATGGGAACATGTGTACGTGGGTGATGGATGGTGCGGCATCCAGATGCTACGTGGTTGATGTTGCATGGAGAATGGAAGACTAATTCTTCAAGGATTTGAGGCACCAAAATTATTATTTCCCAACAGTAACCTAACACATACCGTTTTCTAACAGTTATTTTACTATGAGGCAGGCCGAGTCATCTTACATAGACACTTCTGTACGTGTATTCTGTGACTCATTAAGTTGAAAATAAAAGGTTAAAATGAATTTAAGTGGGATAGGGTTTAAGAAACATAATTAGTCTAGATGGTTTATAGGATGGGTTGGAAACTCACAAACCTGGGTTTGAAACTCACTAACTATAAATCCCTTTTAGCATTTTAGGCTAAACGAATTAGGCTTAGATGACATGAAGGAGTGAGTCTTGAATTAAATGTATACCCATAAAGCTTCGGGAGGAGGAATTCACTCAAAGGATAATAGGGGGAAACACACAATGATGCAAGGATAACACGAAAATGGTTCGCTCGCAAGGTAAAAGGTAGGCTCTAGAGGGTTACCTGCGGGCTCTTCCTCCACCAAACCTTCGGTCTCAGCTTGCGACCGGCTCATCAGGAACACTCTGCCCGAAGGCTTCGTCCCAGCCACACCTCGACCAGAACTCCCTCCCGAAAGTCCACTGGAACCCGAGCTAGGTGGCAAGGCTCTCTGATTGGATTCAAGCCGGCACTCGAAAGCTTTGTGGCCCCTCTCCCCACACGTGAAGCATCGAAGCGCGTGCCCATGGCAATCCTTCCCAACGTGATCCTTCCCACATCTCTTGCATCCAAAAGTCCTCACTGGTGCTCCATTCTCGACCCGAGTCGATCCTTGAGACGGAGGAGGTGTGGGTCTGGCTTTGAAATCTTGTTTCGGCTTCTTGAAACTATAGGACACACTTCCTTCACTTCTCTTCTTAGCAAACTCAAAAGACCCCCGCTGAAGCTGTTGCACTCGATACAGATCTGCTACACTCAGATAGGCCTCATTTAGCGTCCTAGGCTTGCTCACAGTTAATGCCTTCCGGGCTTTGTAGTTGAGCCCCGCCACAAACTTCTCCACCTTAGCCAACTCGGTGGGAACCAACATCTGAGCAAAACGGGCGAGCTCAAGGAAATGCTTGTGGTATTCTACCACAGATGACGACCCCTGCTGAAGATGTAAGAACTCCTCGTACATGGCTGCTCTAACGTAAGATGGATAGAACCTCTCCCTCAACTTGTCCTTCAGAGCAGGCCAGTCAAAACCAGGCTCTTCTTGGCACGCGTGGCCCTCGTGCACCCACCAGAGGTCGGCCTCGTGGATGAATTAGAAAGAAACAAACTCCACGCGGCGATCATCTGGGCAACCCACAACAGCGAAGATCTTATCAAGGGACCGGATCCACTCCTCAAGTAACACGGGATCTTCCTCTCCAGCGAAAACTGGCGGCCTAAGCCCTGAGAATAAGCGTCCCACGTCTCGATTCCCGACAGGCAGGGTGGAGGTGGAGGGTTGTAGTTATGCAAGAGGGCATCACTCAGCGTCTGCATCATTTGGGTCAGATGCTGCAGGTTCTGAGCCAACTGCTCGTTGGTCGGCGTCTCCGGGGTACGGGCACGATGACGAGGCGGAGCCATGGCGAGACTTCTACACAAACAACACTGTTACGGTAGGCACAAACAAACCACGCACCCTTACCCGGCGCTTAAGACGAGAACGCTAAAACTAAACAGAAGCAATGAAACAAACACAACAAACAACAAACAACTCAAAGTTCACCGCACGTCCTAGAAGTCCTAATTCCTAAACACTTAGGTACTTAAAGGTCATCTTATGGTCTCAAACCACACTTAACTTCTTAAAGTCCAAATCCTAACGTCCTAGGCTCAAACCTAGGCTTTGATACCAACTGTAACACCTCCGATTGTTACCACATTTATAAAACTTAAATTCAAATCAAAACATCTAATCATCAAGACATAAAGCAAGCGGAAGCTATATAAAATCGGTATGTGTTATGCCACACCTATCTCAAATATAGGTGCACAGGCGGGAAAACTAACAAGTCTATCAACAACAGTAAATGTCTAGGCACACAGGCCATACAGGCCAACAAAAGGTAACATCTAAACATGATAGCTACTCTATCTAGAGATCCACATCTAGCGCTCTCAGCATCTACTCAAAACCTGTAGAATCAAGGGATAACACCCGGTCAGCGAATATTGCTAGTAACCCATCAATACTCGTTAAATAACATATATAGATAGATATAAACAAAACCATTTGGAAAGGGAATACAGTATATATCATTTCTAAACCAAAGAGAGAAGTCAACACCAAAGACTCATCAAACACTCTCAAAAGAAACGAGGATCATCACCCTCACGACATCAACAAAACCACAAACATGAGAGACAACAACTCAGGATAGATCCTACTGATCACAAAGTATAATACATCAAGACATGCTCATAAGCAAGGAAAAAACATTCACATGGTGACAACTACATGTCACGGTGACAACTACATTTCACAAGTATCACAGTTCAAACCTTATGCCCTGTTCCAACCTTATGGCTACCCTCGGCCTTATTTCGGTTCAACCATTACCTCCTAATGCCACCCTGTACTTCTGAGTCCAACCTTATGCCTCCGGGGACCGTCGTCCCCCCACCCACATTACCACCTACATCTCAGTACACGAGGGTACCATTAATTTCATTCAAACAACTACCTACATGTGAGCAAAGCTCGAATACAACCACCGATCTTAATCATAGTCACACAAGGACATCATCATTACCAAGAAGACTAAGACTCAACAATAGTCTTAATCAAGTATCAACAAAGGCACAACGATTTACATACCATCATATCATAGGAATCAATAAAGAGATCACAATAAAGACAGGAGACCATACTCAACGACAAAGGATTACAATTCAACACCAAATGATTGTCAACACAAGTTGCCAATCCCAATACGAAGGAACAAACCACACATACTTGCATTTCAACATCAAGCTAGCATGCTTATCAAACGGGTAAACCAAAAGTAGTTCCAAAGAACATTCAAGACTCACGTTAGCCCAACGAATCACAAAGTCAGACCCTTAGCACGATTCAAGACACCAAATCCTACATGGATTCCTAACACACCGTTCTAGACATACGAAACATCAAGAAGACTCACAAATAACCCATTAAATCAACAACGGGAGGTCAAAACATCAATACCGAGAAGAAAGAATCACGGGGAACAAATCCCCGAACATCACCAATAACGTTCCCCGCGGGTGGGGCCACGGGTGGACCACCACCCGCGGTTCCGCCTGCGGGTACATACCCGAGGCAGCCCTGTACCCCGCGGGTGGGGTGGCGGGTAGGCCTCCACCCACCGTTCCGTCCGCGGGTACACCCTCCTGTACACAATAATCCCTTCGGGGATTTTCATCAATAAGGCCAAGTTCAAGTCCAAAACACCTAAACTCTCACACACAACAACAATATGACTTGAACCCAAGAAATAGCCAAGCAATGGCATTCAAGAACCCTAAGAACAAGCACTAAACATGCATCACCACAAAATAATGCATCAAATCTCACAAATCAATACAAGAATCACAAGTAGAAGCCAAGAATCATCATATAGTAAGAAAATAGGTTTTGTAAAGCATGGTTTACCTTTATAGCCTAACAACTTCCTCTTTTCACCCTCAAAAGCCTTACCTAGAGCTCCTTTTCCACACCAACTTCTTACACATAGTAAAACACAACAAAGATCCTAACTTTAGAAAAAGACACATAAAACGAGGTTAGAAACACCAAAAAGCCAAGGATCTTACCCTTCCCTATGCTCAAGATGAAGAAAGTAGGAATCTTGGTAGAAAATCTTGCAAGACTTGGATGCTCAAATTCTAGCTTGGAGAAGAAGCTAAATCATTTTAGAGAGAGGCTAGAGTTTTTGTGTTTTAGGTTGAAGGGTGAATGAAATGAAAGAGTCTTGCTAGGTTAGCTTGAATCAAAATCCTTAGGTAGAAAGACATTCATACCCTTACTAATGTTGGAAAGACAAGGGAACAAGGGCACAACTCAAGAAGCACAAGGTACAACCCTTTGACTTAAATGACTAGCCAAAATCTAGTCCCTCGACTATTAAATTTCAGGATTTTTAGGAATAGATTAGCAAAGAGACTTGGATTAATTATATTCTTCATTTAATCCTCGATTAGTGTTTGGATTTACGGGGTGTCACATCCTCTCCCCCTAACAAGGACTTTCGTCCCCGAAGCTTGGGCACGACGAGTCCAACCAAATGGGTAGCAACGAATCAACAATGTGACAAAAAGGAAGCAAAATGCCATTAAACAAGACTTCAAGGATCCAAAAGGTATAAGATTTTTCAAGAACAAGAAAAATGCAAGGTTTCAAAGGTCGCAAAAGGAGTTTCTCAAGCAACACAACACTAACACTACCTTATGGACAGCTAAGAACCTTCTACATCAACCCTAAACTCAGAACAACTAGATTCTAACAAAGCAAAACAACTAAACCGACTACTCAAACAACAAGCTAACTACCAAAGCAAACAAGAGAAACAACTAAACACAGCCAACAAGCAACAACTACCAAACTGCAAACAAACAAACGAGAGAAGAAACGAGCTTACCCCAAACTCCGGCCTAAGAGGAATCATCCTCCGAATCCTCGGCATCCTCGTCTGAATCCTCTTCAGCTCCACCACGACTAGAACCAGCCTCCAACCTATCTAACCTCTGATTTACAGTAACAAACTGAGCCTTCATGAAAGAGAACCTTCCTCAATCATCTGATTCTACTGTCGAAGGAGGGTCACCACACGTTCCTCGTGTGTCATTGCATCATGCTCTTTCTTGGTCCTTACTTCCTTCCTCCTTACGTTCTCTTCGCTTTCGGAGTCACTCTCCTCAACCTCCTCTGCTTATCCTCCTTCTTCTTCCTCTTCTCTCGCTTCTTCGCCTTCGTTCTCAGCATCTCCACCCAAGCTCTGCACCGCTAGGTTCAACTTTCCAGCAGGAATCTCAAGCTCTTCCACTAAAGAACTCCTCTCGGCAGGGGCTTTTCTTGCGACCTCTTCAAGAGTGATGTAGTCACCATCATCCAGCTGAAACAGATTGCAACTTCGGAGA